GGGGGGGCGAGAGTCGACACTACTGACCGTAGTAGCAGGGGGTGAGGTCGCTGAGTCCCCTGGGCAGGCAGGGCGCGACGCGCGGCCGGCAGTAGCAGTCGTTGTCCGGGTTGACGTCGGCCGTCTCGAAGATGTCGTCGCGGAGGGTGTACCAGTAGGCGGGCACCTGGTCCGGCGTGGGGCCCTCGCGTACGAACTGGAGGGGCAGCGTGCGGCAGAAGGCCTTGCGGTACACGGCGAAGCGCATGTCGTGCCGCATGTTGGGCGGGAACAGGATGCCCTCGGTGGCGCCGCGGATCGTGTTGCAGCGGCTGCTGGCGCTACGCACCCCAAAACAAAAAAAAACTAGTCTTTTGAAAAAGTTCTTAAAATATAAAGGTTTAAAAACCATGTTTTTCAAAAAGGGTGTTTGAAACACATGTTTTTTTTTTAAAAAAGGTGTTTGAAAAACATGTTTTTCAAAAAGGGTGTTTGGAAAAACGTTTTGAGCAAAGGTTGTTTGGAAAAACTTTTTGAAAAAAATTGTTTGAAAAAGAAAATAAAGGTTTTTACCTGTGCGGGTCGTCCTCCTTCCCGAAGCCCCAGTGCCGCAGGCCCGGCGAGCCGTTCCACGAGTCGATGGCGAAGGCCCTCCTGACGGAGGACGCGTTGCCCGGCTGCAGGTCGGCCGCGGGACGGTCGGCGCGCTCGTCGCCATTCACGTTCATCGTCACCACGTTGTGCCCCTCGTCAAACATCTTGGAGGACACACAGAAAGTAAGATGAGACAAGGATTTATCTTCAGCCGAACGGAGCATATTATCGCTGATGGACTGTCGAGACACTTTCTTCACCCCCCTTTTTCTTTATCTCCGTTTCAGCAGGAGATGCGAATGTAAAAATGACACTGATAAAACTGATAGATCGACTTTCAGGCCGCTGAAGGTTGTGGTGGTTGTGATTAGTGATCGCATCTTCTTTTTTTTTCACGGACGTATCGGTAGAAGCACCTCCCGTGACTCACCCTGTCGAGAATGCCCAGCCGAGGGAAGCTGATCCACTTGGGGAAGAGCTTGGAGGCGAGGGGCACCAGGGGCTCGTCTATGCCCCACATGTAGTCGTGCACGGTGATCCGGAGGAAGGGCTGTGCGTCCAGGTAGGTCACCAGCGTGGCGAAGGCCAGGTTGGTGAATATGGACGAATTGTGCAGCGAGGACGCCAGTCCCTGCCGAAAAAAAAAAGATCAACTAAAGTGATAACACTATAGATGGCAGCAAAGTTTAAAACTGCCTTGAAGCCAGAAACGCAATATGTCCGATAGTCCCGGGAAGCAGCTCGCTGCGGGACGCCCCCGTCCAGGACGGCAACCCATCCGGCGCGCTGCCGCCAGGTCGCTGCGCCTGCGGATCGGGCCAACCACCCGGCGCCCGACGGCGCGCCCGGCGGGGCAGGCCACCCACCCGACAGCAAGGTCGAACAGCGCGTGTCCTTGAGCTGCTGCGAGCTGCAGCCGCCGCGGCCCCCGCCTCACAGTCAGGCCACCAGGCCGGCGTCAAGGTCAAGCTGCGCGCGTCCTTGAGCTGCAGCCGCGAGCTGCATGCCGCGGCCCGGCGCGCTCACGGGACAGGTATACACGAAGGGTACTTCATGACAGATTCAAGCGTTCACACAATTTAGTGATTTTAGAAATTTTCTGTTTTTTTATCACATTT